TCTGGAGATGTATCTCCGGAACTTTCTCTGAATCATTTCCAAACAGAACCATTTGACAGACAATCATATTAAGATGAAATATGTAACAAATATGCATAAAGGCCAAATATGAATAATGAGTGAATATGTAACACTTCATTTATATTGAGACACAATTATATACAATTATTTGTTCGATTACATAAGAAATCAAAACGAATCAAAACACGTGTCGCCGACTAAATCTATAGGTGGAACTTTGTGCATTCGATTCCTTTTCAATGTTGTTCAATCTATAAAATTCTTGCATCCTTTCCATAAAATGATCCGGCCACATCTCGACATTTGCGGTTGAATGATTCGTCCATTCTGGTGATGTGACTGGTATAGGGCATCCCGATTTCAAGTAAAATTGAATAAAATGACTTGATTTTGAAAGTCATCCAATACACATGATACGATCATTTGGATTTTGGGGGTGGTGCGGTGCGCAGTGGAAAAAAGGTTTCCGAAAAACTGTAGCGTGTCAGGTCAATGCACACCCTATCATATGTACATGCTATTAAATGACCCATATCAGGGAAGATCATCCATTTTGACTCCGATGTCGGACCGCTCAGGCAAGGAATAAGAGACTCATAAGCCGCATTGTATCTTTCTTTAGTTCCATACAATTGTCTGTACAATTCTTTATGTGTCTTCTACTCTTGGATAAGTTGATGTCGGAAAAGTGTATGACTATCTTCTCCTTTACCGAGTTAAGCCGAAACAGCTCGGTGACTGCAATTACTGTCCCCTTCAACATTGACGATACACTCGATATATTTGTGCATAAAAACCGACATCTCGTCAATAAATGGAATCTTTGGTGAAAGTGGCGTCGAAAGTGGTTTGCTAATGCATGCTCCTTTCACAACACTTTTATGAGATTTTGGAGTCGGTGAGTCGGGAAAAACTTTGTCAACATGTTTAAAGTATGAAAGAGACCGCGTAGTCGAGTTGTCATTCGGTGTAGGCTTCATTTTCTTCAGAGCACCTTTTGTTTTTACCAGTTGAGAATGCGGTTTCATGTCGGTGGTTTCAGGATAGACAATCTTCCTCAATTGTTTTTTGATGTGTAGTTTCATATTGTCATCGGCCTTTGAAAATCTATCGTATATTGTTTCCCATTCGATCAAAATTGAGATATTCGATTTCCCGTCATCCATGCATCCATCATCATCGAACCTAAGTATCTTCCAATGAGAGAAAACCGCGTCCATTCTTATTGGTTCACCAAGTTTCACCTTTTTAGCAAGAGCACAAGACACAGGAAACCATATATTTTCACAGTAGTGCTACCACACTTTGCGCTATCGGAGCCTACATTATCAACTCGTTTAGCTTCGTGAAAAATATAGTTCAAACCCACTCGAGAAATATTACCGAACGACTGAGAATATAAAGTGTTGTCTTTAAATAGGTGCTCCAAAACCGTGATGCTCCGACCAAATGTTGTTTGTATCTCATTATGTTAGTTTTGAATCATGTGGTTCATGGAGTTCCAGTCTCTACACAAATCCCCCTTGTTATTTCTCAACCAATTTTTCAAAGTAGCATGGGCCGACTCAACTCTGTTGGTAGTTATATTTCCAAGGTGTCAGACATTATCAGTCTACGTGCAAATTATCTTCTCCTTCACCTGATCAAGAATGGGCTTTCAACATATTTCAACAAAGAATGATATTTTTGACACACTTTCCAAAAATGAATGGCAGAATCGACATATAATTCTTTTGTGAAAGAATTTATTATATGATTCCATGCATCCATTATTTTCTCCACAATCGCACCCGAATTCACCAATTTCCACCTTTGCATTATACTTGTTTCGTCCCAACCGCGGGTTTAACCCTACTTCTCACATTATTTGTTATGTGATACTTGCAAAGTAATGTATAAGAATAAGGAAATACCTTTGGAACCACACTTATCAATGCGGTATCGCGGTCGGCAACAATAGATTTAGGCATCTCACCTTGATCCTTCAAAAGTGATCGACACACCTCTAATGCCCAAGTAAAATTGTCATTTTTTTCACACTTTAGAAATACAAAACCAATAGAATATGTCTTCTCAGTTGAGGTAACACCAACCATCTTAAATAATAAAAGTTTATACTTGTTGGTCTTGCAGGTAGAATCAAGTATGAGCACTGTCGGAAACGTGTTGAACAAATTTATTGAATCAGGATGAGTCCAAAAAATATCTCTAACTATAACTCCATCATTGAAAGTTCGGTACCGGGACACATAAGTGTTATTGTCCAACAGTTGTTGCATCTCAGTTTTATCCCCCCTAATCACCTTGTTATTGAGGTACTAAATGTTATAGACTTGCTTGATATTTGATATATTGTCGGGTTGCTTTTGTTTCAATGTTGCAAGTATATTTTTCGGTTGAACAAGATTCAAGGTCACGTCTCTAATACATTCCTTCTCTTCCGGCTTGAGCCGACATACACTAGGATGAACGACTAATTTTAAGCATAAATCATGGTTATGCAACCACAAATGACATTAAATCTCCATTTTTTGTTAGCCAACATGTAACCAAGAAATTTAAACGGACACTCACATTTTCTACTACACGTGTCATCTTCTATCCGAACCATTATCTGACCTTTCTATAACCATACCCAATCCAAGTTTAGATGCCTCCATACGAATCTATTCGAGCATGTTATCACGATTGTCTAACTCTTGCTTATTGTTAAAGTTGGTGCCAACATTTATCGCCTTCACAATAACCCCTTGAACATTTAGAGAAACTACTTATTTTGGTAAAATATCGGGGTGCACCATATATATTGGAAACAATAATAAAACATTAAATCTACTGCTGCAGAAGGGACTGAAAAATGACCACAGAAACCTTCCGAAAACATATCTCCAGAAAATTTCAAACTCAAACACGTTCCGGAGATACATCTCCGGACACTGCGTAACTTTTTTTCAAAAAAATTTCATGATTAATGTAAGCAATATAGAGCAAAAACAACAATCTTTACCTGGAATTCTATCTTCTTTTCCTCCCTATGATATGTTGAACCAAAAGGATGAAGACTTGGAATGAAATAAAGGATTGAGAATCAAGAGTTTTTAGGGCGATGGTTTGAGTTGAAAAAGAAGTATGACAACAATACGGGACTGATCATGCAGCTGAAAGCTATATAAGATATTTTTGGATATACATCTCCGGAAAAACCTGCCACCCACAAATTCTGAATATATATCTCCGGACTATTCACTGAACTGAATAATTTAAATATTTTTTTCAAACTGTTTCAGAGATATATCTTCAGAATAAACCTATAACAAATACATGAGGTGTCACTCAAAATGACATTTATTAGATCTGCAAAAAATACGTCCTGGGATGTATCTCCAAAAATAAAGAATATAATAAAAAATCTACACGATAAATAATAAATGCACAAGATAGAAAAAAAATTCTCAAAATAAAAAATAAATGTAAGAGAATCAAGATCCTAATACCTACATAGCAAAGCTCCTGTAGAGCACGAAGGCAGCTCTCCATAACAAACTATAATCTTCTACGAGAATCTCACAATCACACAAACCATGAAGACAAAAATATATAATAACATACTCCTATAAAAATAATTAAAAATATTTGAGAGGACCATAACGTCCACCTTCTAAGTCCTAGTGTAAATAAATTAAATCAATTATTAATTTCAAACTTTTGAAGTGGTCATAACAGAAATTAAAGCAACCATGTGGCCTGAGTTATATAAGCACATAATTTAGGGATCAGGGGCATGACTGCAACTGCACAAAATAATCAATTAACTATCTCACTTTTTTTTTTTTTTTTTTTTTTTTTTAATTTTCTTTTTAACAACCATTATAACTGAAGTTCATATTTTTGTTATAATTTTTTACCTTAACTATTGTACTGTTATCTTTTTTTTATTAAATATTTTTCTGTTACCTTGATAATAATATAACCATCACAAATCAATTAGAGTTTTCAATTTCTTTTACCAGCATCATTATATTTGAAATAATGTACTTAACTGTTACATTAATTAATAATGGATATAGTAGTTTTCATCAGTTTCAATTGTTAGATGTTGCCAAATATTTACCGGCATTTAAAAAATATATATAATAAAATAATATAATAAATATTTAATTAAATAATATCATAATTTTTTCTAGAAAGTTATGGGAGTTTAGATCAAACTGATTCAAATAAAATTTATAAATTAATATAAAAAATATTAAATTATAAAAAATTGTATAATTTTGGATGTGTTTGTATTCTCTTTTATTAGAACCCCTATGATCTAATTAAATTGTAAATTGATTTTCCAAAACTAATCCCAATTAAATCGAACATACATATAATTTGATATTTATTTATTGATTTATTAATAATAATAATAATAATAATAATAATAATAATAATAATAATAATAATAATAATAATAATAATAATAATATTATTATTATTATTATTATTATTATTATTATTATTATTATTATTATTGATTTATATATTATATATTATTTGACACCTATTATTTTATATTTTTATATCATTAATATAAATAAAAGATTATAATATAACTTGAATATTAAAAAATCAATTCAAAAATTATATGAAATTGAATTAAATCGAATCATATTTTTTTTAAAAATCATTTAAAACCAAACTAAATCTTAAATAAATTACTTTTGGATTGAATAAATTCTTAAAATTGAACACCTCTAGTCAAATCCATAAATCATAAACTTTATTTATTTTTATTTGTAATATTAGTAGATAAATGACATGGTCATGTTTGATTGGTCAAAAGTCATAAACTCATTTCAATTATTACACAGAAAATGACGAAAATAGCCTTGTAGGGCCCTATAAAATGAAACACACCTTTCACTGAACATAACACAACTGTCCTATTTATTAGCTACAATATTGTCTCAACTTTATCAAACTTTCACACAATCACTATGGCATTCAATCAAGAATTAGAAGCTATAACTCAAGCTTTTTCAGGTTCTCTATTTCTCAACTTGAAGTATATCATATATTAAATTATCACATATTATTATCTTAATTTTTAAATGGTATAATTTTCAGGACATGGTGTGGATGAAAAATCACTGGCAACAATATTGGGAAAATGGGATCCTGTTGAGAGAGAAACATATAGAAAAAATACATCAAATTTCTTTGTTGAAGATCATGAAAGAAAATTTCAGAAATGGAATGATCACCATGTTCGGCTTCTCAAACACGAGTTTGTGCGTTTTAAGGTATCAACTTTCTTTTCGATTTGTTTTTTCTATTGATTTTTTATTAGCCAGATGTTAAAGTTTTTGTTTTCTTGTAATTTTAGTTTTTATTTTAATAATTATTTTTAATAAAAAATAAATACTTTATTTAAGAATTTTCAAAAAATAATTTAATTATTTAAATCACTTTTATGTATTCTGAAAATTTTTAATTTTTTTAATTATGAATACGTAGAAAAAAAATTGGTTAAAAATTGTATGCTGCAGTAGTTAATTAATTGTTTGAAAGATCAATTTTGCAATGAAGTCAACCAAAAAAGAATTAAATTGCAAGAGTAATTATTTTAATATAAAAGTTGCTGTCACAAAATATTTATTTGATCACATTTTTCATAAAATAAGCTCGTCTCATTTAGAGTGTTCACATCTGAATTTATTTTAATAAAATATAATCAGATCTTGTCACATCAGAATTTTTAAATTCAATAACGTAATTCATATCAACCAGCATGTTTTTTATTTGTTTTAATAAAAATAATTAATAATATATAAATCTAATCTACGTTTAAAGATTCATGTTTGAAGCATCTATAATTAATTATGAATATGTGAAATTGATTTTGAATAGAATTGATTATGTTTTACAAATGATTTAATGGAGATATACTATTCAGTTTTACACTGTCATTCTATTGAATGTAATGATCAGAATGCAGTGGTAGTTTGGAGCATGCACCCTTGGGAAAGAGATGCTCGTTTAGCAAAAGAGGCTCTAAAGAAAGGGCCAAGTTCATATAATGTCCTCATTGAGATTGCATGCACTAGATCCTCTGAGGAGCTTTTGGGAGCTAGAAAGGCATATCATTCCCTCTTTGATCACTCCATTGAAGAAGATGTTGCCTCTCACATCCATGGCATTGACAGAAAGGTACAAAGTGTTTAGGTGAACTACTATTATTTATGTGTTCAATCTCACATTGTTATTTTTTGTTATTTCAAATATCATCTAATTAACTCCTATTACTTTTGGAAACAGCTCTTGGTTGCACTTGTAAGTGCCTATAGATATGAAGGATCAAAGGTTAAAGATGACACTGCAAAATCAGAAGCTAAAACACTTGCCAATGCCATTAAAAATGATCAAAAGAATCCAATCATTGAGGATGATGAAGTAGTAAGGATTTTGGCAACAAGAAGCAAGCTACATCTTCAAGCAGTTTACAAACACTATAAAGAAATATCTGGCAAGAATCTTGAAGAGGTATTATAAACATTTCTAATCATGTTATCACAAAATAATTATAGATCCTATTTAATCATATTTTAACACTGAAAAATATTTTATCAAACTTTATTTATCTACGGTGTGATAATCTGATAACTTACCTTGCACGCCTTCAAAAAGGGTGTGATACAGTTCTGATGCATTATAAATGTCATTAGAATTTATGAGATTCAATTTCTGATTAAAACTTCACTATCTTTTTTTAGGATCTTAATGACTTAAGGTTTAAAGAGACTGTGCAATGTCTTTGCACTCCACAAGTATATTTTAGCAAGGTAAGAAAAATTTACAAACTCAAAATCCAACAACCTCTTAAAGTGGTTGCTTCTACTTTATTTATATATATATATAATGCATATATTTTTTGTACCTATAGGTTTTGGATGCAGCATTAAAAATTGATGTGGATAAGAATGTTAAGAAATCACTCACTCGTGTGATAATTACTAGAGCTGATATTGATATGAAGGAGATAAAAACTGAGTATCAAAAGTTATATGGAGTTTCTTTGCCTCAGAAAATTGAAGAGACTGCTAAAGGAAACTACAAGGATTTCTTGCTAACCTTAATTGCTAGAGGAGGCTAATTGATGAGATTAATCAAAGAAAAAAAACTTTGAGAGATGAAATTTGAGTTGTTGTTTTGTGTTGCTTATAATGTTTATCGATTCAAATTTGTATTGTTTATGTTATGCTGTGTTTGATCTTGTATTATTATTCCGTCACCGAAGAAAAAACTAAAATATAATCGAATAAATATTATTCTGCTATCTGAATACACGTTTGATGGAATTTCATCATAGTTTTAAATAGACATTTTTTTATTCGCGCATTAAGAATACGAAATGACAGAAAATGAATCGACAAGAAATTCAAAGTTACTTTATTATTACTATGGTATTATTATTGTTATTATTACCATAGTCATTTGAAAAAAAAGCACAAAACAATTTGAAAACATGTTCTTATAACAAGAGCTTTCCTATTCTCTCCCTATAAGAGTAACAAGGAACCTCTTGTAGTCTCCTGAGATCTCCCTGGCCACTGCATCCTCGAGACGAACACTGTTTCTGTGATAGTACAGCTCTTTGATGTCCTTCAAGTCCTTCTCGGCCCTTGTCACCACCACGCGGGTTAGTTCATCTTCATCGGTTCCTATCCTTTTCAGCGCGCTCCGGAGAACCTACATCAACCATCAACCAAATAGTATAACTTATATCATCACTTATGTTAGTTGCAGACCGTAATTTGAAACTATTACACCATCTCATTATATTATAAGCAAATTTTGACTTTTTTGGGTTCATTTAACGATCGATGTATCTGGTGTACGTTTTAGTAGTGTCGGTATTAATATTACCTTTTCATAGTACTTCTTGTGGTCATCAATGCAACGAATGGCAACATGAGCAGCTTTAAGGAAGTCATCAGACTCTTCATTCAACAGTCTCTGCAAACACAAAGTTTGTTATACAAATAGCTTCGACATAATAAGTACTTATTTGTTAAGTGCTTAATTCAAACCTTGCTAATAGAGTAGCCATGATCATCTCTGTAACGGTTGAAAGTAGCCTTAAGTTGTCTCTTGCTCCTTGTAGTAAGGATCCTGGTAACTTCATCAAGGTTACCTTTCTTGTTTTTGATAGCCTCATGAAGAATTTCAGCCTCATATTTTGCCAAACTTGGATGGATATAATCGCCACCATATCGGAACGAGCTCACCAGTCCAACCAAAAGCTGCCAAAACAAACCATCAAATAGTACACTCAACATTGTAAATCATTTATATATACAGAACTGTCTCAAGTTTTTGGAAACCTGTGATAATGACCGAGACCATATTTAACTAGAGTTTAACTGTGACATGACTTTACCTGGCGAAAATAGCCAGAGGTATGTGCAGCCACGTGTTCTTCCAAAGAATGGTGGTATCGATAATGATAGGCGCGCCGCACATTCACAAGCTCTTCAGGTTTGAGAACACTTGCAATTTCCACAATCACATGATAATCTTTGTGAACATTCTTAAGAGCTACATTTGCCAACACAGCATAACAATCTGAAGGTTCCAAAATCCACCTATACATTGCTTTCTGTTCAAATTAATTAACTACAATTAGTTTCAATTATCTTGTTAATTAATACTAGTAATTATTCATTAACCATTATTACGGAATGAATATAATACCTCAAAGTTACCAGAGAGCTCTGATTCAAGACGTTTGATGAGATCTTCTTCGTACATGTCTTCGTAAATTTGTCTTATTTGTTGCCTTTGAGTAGCATTTCTATGGCCCATTATAGCTATGATAGCACTCTCATCAGTTCCCCACCCTATAAATTTAAACATAAAATAATCAATTATTTAATCACAGTTTAAGGATAACAAATTTTGAATTATAAAATCTAACAACCTTTGACTGCCTTATAAAGAACCATAGCATCATCTTCCGGAGTAAAATGCTGAGGAGCAACAATAGTAGCCATGGTTTCTAATGTTTATTTTATTCTATGATATGGTTGGATGTCTTTTTTTATTGAAGGTCCATGATTATATTTATAGTATGCTCTTACAATGTACATTTCTACAAATGTAATTAACAAGTTTTCTTTTTTCGACCTTTTTTGTTATAAAATCTTAAAATAATAAATTAATTCAATGTATTTCTTCTATGGTAAGCACTAATAAAAAAGTATTACTTTAGATTTCACTTTTATTATATTTATACAATTACCATTTTATTATGAAAAAGATACAAAGAATTTTATTTATACATTAAAAATATATTGGGTGGTCAAACTAAATTAATATAATAATATATAATATAATAGTTTCGTTAAGACAATTCAGTTGGTAGTTACGTAGGAAAAAGAGTTTAAACCTACGATATTTCACTTGTTCATTTTTAATGGACAAATTCTAGCCTATTTAACAAAACAAATATATAATAAATGTTAAATATGACTATAATTGTAAAACACACACGCGCACGCACACGCATCCGTACGCACGCATGCACGCGCGCGCGCGCACACACAATTTTAGCAACTAGCCTATTTAACAAAAGAAATATATAATAAATGTTAAATATGACTATAATTGTAAAACACACACGTGTACGCACACGCATACGTACGCACGCATGCACACCCGCGCGCGCGCGCGCGCACACACACACACACACACACATATATATATATATATATATATATATATATATATATATATATATATATATATATATATATATATATTTATATTTATATTTAGGAGAGACACAATATTGTTATGTATAAGTTTTTTAACTCTAAAAAACACTTTCTTTGGTGCTAGTGCTAGGAAATCAAAAGTATCAAAGACAAATGATATGAAGCTATGTTGATTGTTGAAACACATTTACTCATGTTTAACCACTTTACATAAATCAACATTGAGAGTTATTTGTTCCAATATAAAACCTACACTCTTTAGTTCCACCAATGGAAAAACTTCAGTGAAGTTCACACATGCATGTTTCTCTCCTATCCACTTTTACACTTAACATTTGCTGACCTAAATGTTGATTTGCCTTTTTGTAGATTGTCGTAATTGTGAAAAAACAACCGGCGAAAACAAACAGAAGAGTCGCCACCGAACATTATTTATCCCAAAGGAAGGGAAAGGAAACGATCGAAGAAAACCTAAAAGAAAGGAGAAGACAAGGTCATCATCGCAACCAAATCTTGGATTCGGAAGTCGGTTACGCAAGGGGAAGGTATTAGCACCCCTTAAGTTTGTTGTACTCAACGGGATCCACGCTTGGTGTCTAATCAAAGGGTGTGTCATCTAAAAGCTACTGCTAAACGAAAATAGGAAAGGGAAAATGTTCTAGACTGGGCCGAAGCTTAACCCACAACCAAGCAGGCCCAAACCCCACTGGGGTTGGGCCCAAGAGGACCGCGCTGACGGGCTGAAGACCCATCGGGCACAACCTTCTCTCCCGCCGGGCATAAACCAACAGCTGTCGGGCAGGATCATCGCAGCCGACCAACCAGCATCTCTCTTCCCCGTCGTCGGGCAGAGTCCAACCTGCTTGGGGAGCTCTTCGAACCTCCCCCCACATTCTCTACGCGTCCCTCACGCAGGGACATGTCATAAAGTAACTATCCACGTCCTGGAGATTTGGTCTTCCTCCTCCCGAATAATGCAGAACAATTACCCTAGGGCGAAGACCACGTGTTGGCCTTCACGACGCCACGTCAGCCCTAGCAGTTACTAACATTGGGCCTGGCAGCCCAGCCCAATGCTAGGTAACCGTTGGCCCTGCGCTGGGGGCTCACTATAAATACCCTCTTCACTAGAGGGTCAGGTAACTTAACTCTCCTACTCTCTCTTTGTACTTGCTCCCACTCTACTCGTGACTTACTTTGGCATCGAAGTGTGTTTCAGGTACACCCCCTCCTCTTCCATACCTTCGGTGAACAGCTAGCAGATCAACGACGCGTGGCAGGTCACTGATTCCTTTCTAATCAGGTAAGATCAGAAAAGAAAAAGGAGACTCAATAGGACATCGCCACCCTATGCCTACGTATTCCCTCATACAATGGGAAAGTCAGAGTCAACGTAGTTCGGGAAACTACGAGTGATAGAGGGAAGGTTTCTCGCCAAGACATCGTCATCTTGTGCCTACGTATCCTCATTTGGTATGAGAAGTCAGAGCAAACGTAGTTCGAGTAACTAAACCACATGTTGGTTAAGTGTTTTTTATGAGCAACATTAAGTTTCCATTCCAGTAGTTAGGGACGATGTCTGTTTGTGGTAGAACGGAAGAGTAACGTACTCTTTTGTGAAAATGATTTTGAAAGACAATCCCAAATGATAAAAAAGTTTGAATTTTGTTTATGAGTTTTAGAGAAGTGAATGGATTTGATTTTGTGATCCACGTTGCACTAAAGACTATGATATAGGAACGAATGTATTGCATATCTCCCTCAGACGGGACGTACACTAAACACTCTAGACAAGTAAGGAGAAACCCATCACTCATCATTTCCCATATGCTTAAGGCTCGTGGCGCATAATATTCATCGTCTTTATTAAGTGTTTTGGAATTGTTTTGAGATGAGAAGAGAATGTTAGAACACATATTGGTGTTTAATATTATCTCTATGTTTTGATGATAACTCTAATAAAATTTTGTATTAAGAAAATATATATTATAATTTTGTTCAAGTGTTTTGTGTTTCAGATTTTAAAATAAATATCATTATGAAAGCAAAATGCATCTGAACAGCAAGTTACGCAAAGCTCTGAAGCATCAGAAGCAAGCCATCATAAGACTCTGAGCACTGCCAGAAGAGACTCTGAAGCAGAAGCTGCAGAAGCATCTGAAGCGTAGCTAAAGATTTTGTATGAAGAGTTTCAAGCATTGTTTCAGAAGACTCTGAATATACTTTATGCTGCAAGTACAGAGGCTCTGATGAACATTTATGCTCTGATCAGATCACTCACGCTAAAGCACTATTGCTGCAACTCTGATAACATTGAATCTGATCTGAAGAACAAGAAGCACATCAGAGGATTTGATGTTGTTTACGTTTGAAAAGA